CTGGCCCTCTGCCCTGGCAACCCCTGTACCATGCTGATGCGTGGATGTGCCTCCAACAGCCCAAGGGAGGAAAGCTCTTAGTTAAAATATTCAACTGCAACGCTAAGAATGCACGCTGATTAGCTGAGTGCGTCCCAGGCCCAGCTACTCTGCTCCACAGCAGCAGCCTGATTAGTGAAGGAGGCAGCTCAATCAGCATAGCCTTCAGCCCGCACGCAGGGCCCTGGCACTACCGGCTCCTCATGGGCTGGCCTTCCTGAGTGGATGGGGCAGGCAGAGCGCTGTGGCTGTTGCTGACCCTCAGGAAGTCGGCACGGTCCTCACTCTCCTGGCTGCCTTTCTAAGACCTGGATTCTGTTAGCGCCTCACAGTCTGCCAGGTAGAGTCTCCTTGCCGATTCCTACCAAATAATCATTTAATCAGGACAGTACCTGGAAGGTGATTTTGTTCTATTTCTATTTTATAGATGAGAAGACCGAGGCTCAGTGAAGTTAGGCTGTAGAATTCTAATTCAGTCCCAGATCCTAAGTGCCTGCCCGTGTAATGCTGTCCCTACTGCAGAAATCTGATAGTAAAGGAGCCCAGTCAGGGATCTACAGGGATCCCTTCTGGCCAGAGGGACTGGCCAGGTAGGGTGAGGCTGATCAGGGAGCCACTCCTTTCATGGGCTCATTTTGGCTTCCTAAAGTGCAAGGTCCTCACAGACCTCCATCCACAGACCCAACTGCAGCTCTGAGACACCCCACCAGACCCCCAGACCACAAGGACTGGCCCTCCACCTGGGCCCTGCAACACTGCCCTCCTGCAGTCCTCACGCCCAGGCCCAGGGACCTGGCCTCCTGCTTGCCCTGACCTGGCACCACTGGCCCCAGGAAGCCCCACCCATCCCAAACCCTCTTTTTGTCAGAGCTCCCTGCTCTCCTAACTCCTGCCCAGGTCCACAAGGTCCCCCTCAGTCCTCCCAGCTTCCCCTTCCTGTCCTGCCTCTCATTGTCCCCTGCCTGCATCCCTCCTGTGCTCTAGCCACACCCAAATGCCACAGATGTCACCCAGGCTGTTCCTTCTGCAACAATGCCATTCTCTTCCCTCCTCTTCATCCTCCTTAGCCACCCATGAAATGTCAACACCTCTTTCATGTCTCAACTTGAGTATCATTTTCTTAGTGGAGCCTTTTTAGTTCCTCTCCTTCTCCAGTCCCAAGACTCAAATAAGCACCCCTTCCTTTGAGTCCTCCTGGTCTTCCCTCTCATCAGAGGCCCAATAATACTTGAGTGTTCTTTTCTCCTCTCATGTCTGGCTTCTCCAGCAGTTTGCTAGATTTTGAAGGTAGAGGTTCTGTTTTCCCCTTTATTCCTCCAGCACCCAGCTCCAGGTAAGGATTTAGTGATGCTTGATCAATTATCAAATGATGGTCAGAGCCAAACTATTCCCATCCAGTCTCGCACACTGCCTGGCACACTGCAGTTGATTAATAAGTGAATGTGGAGGGTGGGAGGGGACTGGGGAAAAGCTAAAGGGTCAGCATAGGTTCAAATTTTTGCGAGTGGTCATGGGCCTTGAGTCCCCTCAGAGTGAGACATTTTGAGCGCCAACTCTCACCCACAAGTGAGCTCTAATAAGTCCAACATAGCTTTGCAAGAACTTCTGGGGTCCTGTCCAGTTGAACTCTGCACTGCTTGTGCTTGTCTCCAGGCAGAACAGACAATGAATTGTGGCCATAAGGTCAATCAGATGAGACCTGATGACCAAAGTGCATCATAGGGCTAGGAAGAGAGATTATTAAGCAATAGAATGAAAGCTCTGTTCCCTGGATATTTGGCCAACTACAAATTGCTCCAAGGCAGACATTCTGGGATCCTCCAAACACCAAACCAGTTCACAGGTCCAAATCCAAGGCCAATGGATGATAAGGTTACCCCACACCCAGCACAAGAATTTCCCCAGAGTTTGTTTTCTAGAAACAGAGACTAATTGGCTTCTATTTGCATGTGCACCCCCTGCCCTTCGACAGGCAGAGAATCACATGAGGGCTGCAGCTTTTCCCATTTCTTCTTGAACCATAGCAGTAGAACAAGAACATAGTTATAGATGTGGGAAAACATTCTATGCTAATTCTCTAAGTTACTTGTATGTCATCTTGTTCCCCTCAAAATAAAAATGAAATGTTTTTGGTGAACCCAGGGTATAAGACTGTCATTAGGTTACTTTGAATCTCTCTCTCTTTTTTAAATGTATAATATTAAGTTCCATTATGAAATTTCCTCCTTTCCTTCTCTTTCTTCGTCCTTCTTCCTAAGATGCAGATACTCCTGAGAAAAGGCATTATGCTCTAAAACTAAGCTCTGGCCAGTAGGATGTAACCTGAAGGGTAACAAGTTCCTTAAGCCTTTTTAAAATGGTAGCTGGGATGTGACCCTTTCCCTTCTTTATTCACCACTTCCTCTGTCCTCTTCCTGGAATGCAGATATTCTGTCCAGAGCTCTAGCTATCATCTTGGATCATTTAAATGAAAACCACATTCTAGGGATGGAGCAGAAAGGAGCAGAAAAATTTATCAGTCAATGCCCTACTTACCTCTAAAGTTTGTACATGAGAGCAAAATAACAATTTCTCTTCCTCCTCCTCATACATATATATATATATGTATATATATATATATATATATATATTTTTTTTTTTTTTAAACTACCATTTGTTTAGATCCCTGTCACTTGTAGCAGAACCCAATACAGGGTCCACTGCCTGCCCACTAATCTCAACTGGCACCATCTCCAGCAGCCCTCAAATGGAACATGGTCAGATTCTCTATCCTCTCCTCCTCTCCCAATAGGCTTCATGGTCTTTATGCATATTCCTCCACAATTACCTTCATAACCTTTGAAGACCAAAGTAATGTACAAGGTATAACCTTCGTCAAGCCAAAAATGTGTGTTATAAACAATGTGAGTATTGAATATGGCTGTAATAATTAAGTCTCATTCAGGGGAGATTGGGCGATTTTTATTTCCTCCCTTTTCTATAGGCTGTTTCCTTCAATGAGCGTTTATTACTCTTAATAACAAAAAATCAACAATCTAATAGAAAAATAATCTGGTACGGCCCAAATCAAAAAAATGTAAAAATGTCCCTGAGGACAATTCAAAAGTCCAGAAAATAACTGGGATTGCCAGAAGAGAGAGGAGAGATGCCCCTCTTAAGGTGACATGTGTGCAAGGCGTATTTGGTCAGTCACCATGTAAAATGACTTGCATTTTCGATCTCTAGTCCTCACGAACTCCAAAGGCACGTGTCATCTCTATGTCACAGATGAGAAAACCGAGGCTCACAACAATTCAAGATTTTCCCCCAAGTCACCCAGTTCATTGACACGGCCGTACTTTGACTCCAAGTCTCCCCGGCCGCAAAGTTTACATTATTATACTATATGAAGCTACTTCATTTCCCTGGATTTGGGAGTAACTGGACCTACAACATCATCCTTATAATAGTCAAGACTCTAACTATTGGTTATAAATGGAAGACTCCCGACCCAAAGTAAGAAAGGAGAATTACCTGGCTCGCGAAACTGAGAAGTCAGCTGCAGCTTAACGGGAGCTCCAACTCTATCAGCAGGTCCTCTTTTGCTCAGTCCTTCCGCCCTCTTCTTCTCTGACTGGCCGTAATTGCAATCCGCCCACCGCTCTGGCCCATGAGCGCCGAGTTTTACACACAGAGAGGTTAAAGCCGAGATCTTTATCCCAGAATTCTCCGCGAAAGTGTCCTTTCTCCCATTGGTTCTGGGTGGTCACGTGCCCACGCCTGAACCAATCACCGTGACTTCAAGAGTGCTACAGGTGGTGGTGTGTCCCCTGAAGAAGCTGAGTGGAGAAATGAGATTCCTCAGAGGAAATTGTGAGGATCGTTTCACAGAAGAAAGGTACATGGATATCCGTAGTACAACCGCAGCGTCCCCCATATTCCCAATGCCCTCCGGGAGCCTCCACTCCCTCAGCCTTGGCCACCGTGGGAACCACTTCTCTGTGTAAACACCCGACACGTAGGCGCCCCACAACTGGCAAAGACGCCTCCCGTGGAAAAATGGCTTCTGTCGGACCCACTTATTCCTTTCCCAAATGGATTTTGTTCTTCTTGAAATCCTTTAATGAGGAGCAAACAGGCATCACACAGATCTGGATGTGAACTCAGGGCCAGAGGCATTTGATGATTTATTCATTGACCCACCAAATCTAGTTCGTCTCTATGGGCCAGTGCTAACAGGCCATTTCATTCATTACTCCGCAAAGTCTGACTCCATGAAGCTGATCCCTTTTCAGTTAACTTCTAAGAGAGGAATTTCCTCTGGCAATTCAAGTCAACAAGCATTTATTAAGCACCAACTATGTGTCACAGGTGGCTGGGCTGGGAATGCAGAGATGGAGGTGACCCAGATCCTGCTCACAGCCCAGTGGGTGGATGTGAGTGAATGTCTTCAGTGTCCTGCAGAAAATACTGTATTGGTTTCCTAGGACTGCCATAGCCAACTGGGGGGGGGGGGGGCTTCAAACAACAGAAATGTATTCTCTCACAGTTGTGGAGGCCAGATGTCTGAACTCCAGATGTTGGCAGGGTTGATTCCTTCTGGAAGCTTCGAGGAAGAATCCATTCCATGTCTGTCTCCTAGAGTCTGGTGGCTTCTGGCAATCCTTGACACTCCTTGGCTTGCAGACACATCCAGTCTGTCTCCATCTTCACATGGTCAATTCCCTCTGTTTCCTTGTCAAATATCCCTCTGCCTTTTCTCTTATAAGGACAGCTGTCATTGGATTTAGGGTCCACCCCAACCCAGGATGATATCAACTCAGGATCCTTAACTCAATTTCATCTGCAAAGACTCTTTTTCTAAATAAGGTCAATTCACAGGTTTCAGTTGGTCATATCTTTTGGGGCTTGCCATTCCACTCAAAAGAGTTACTGTGCAGGGTACAGAGAGACCTCAGAGAAGGGAGTGGTTTTCTGTCTTTAGAAGGTGATGGCAGTAGTGTCCTCACAGAAGAGGGCATGGCTGAGCTTTCCAAGAGGATAACAGGAGTTTGTAAGGGAACCAAGCAGAGAAAGGACATTCTGGGAAGCAGCAGGTGATGAGGCAAAGCCAAGAGAATGAGCCATCACCTTCAGAGAACTAACAGCAGTTCGGCGTGGCTGGGGCATGGAAGGGAGAGTGAGTGGAAATGAGGCTGGAGAGAACCATGGAACCAGACCTTGACAAGGCTTGAGAGCTTTACAAGAAACCTAGACTCGATCCTATGGGCAACACGAAGCCACCGGAGAGGGAACCAGTCTGTTCTGTGCAGGTGAGTGCTCAGTTGAACTTTTCTTATAGGCGTTTGTCTTTCCTCTGCAGTCTTGGCAAATAAATTGTGAGCTACTTAACGGCAAGATTCACATTTGATTTACCTTCGCACAATGCTCATGTCTAACACATAGTATGTGCTCATCAAACATGTTCTGTTTCGTGAATGAACTGAAAAGGCAATTACTAAGGGCAGGTGGCCTCCGGCTCTTACCCATGAGAGGCGGTGTGGGAATGAGGGACAGAATTCATGTTTATGAGACTGTGTCCAAGTTGCAGTTCTGCCACTTGTGAGCTCTGTGACCTCAAGCAACCTCTTCACTTTCTGCTTCTCAGTTTGCTTCTCTGAATGATAGAAATAATCATCACCGTCATAAACACCACAGGCTAATATCGGAACCTCAGGGAGTGCATGGCCTGCCCTATGCAGTCTCCAGTAAACAGGAGTTGGAGCTGAAGAGGCTGGAGCGCTGAAGGAGTGGGGGCCCGGAGCCGGGCTGGCTGCGTTAGCATCTTCAGCAGCTCGGAGGCCAGAGGCTCAGTGGGACACCAATGACGCATCTGGCATTGGGGCAGTTGCTGGCTGTGGTCGTGTCAGGGATGACGCTTCTGTGACAAGTCACGGAATTGCCTCCACAGCTGCTCACACACTGTGTGGTTGTCTCTCTGAGGGAAGTAGGGGTTTCTCAGCCCCGAAGCTGGAAGGTGGAGGCAGGTGGGCTCCAGAAAGGCCCTGGAGGAACCCTGCCCCAGCATGAAGGACTTTGAGGCCTTCTTCCCTGACCCAGGTCCATCAGATCTGCCTCTCGGCACTCAGATCCCTTGGGCTACTCTGGGAGGCCGAGGGGAGAGCTTACATGGTGCTTTGTGCTCCACTGGCTGTTCGAGGGTGCGGTCCTGGCTCCAAGCCTAGGTTCCTGCTTTCCTGCTGTCAGTTAGGGGTCCTCCCTGACCATGTGAGTACCCCGCACCTCCCTGTGCCATTTGAGTACCAAGCTAACAGCCCCTCTTCTCCCTGGCCTCAGCCCACTCAGAGCTACAGCTCCTGAGGTGAGCTAGGACAGTCAGAATGTGTCCCTTGAGGATTTGATTTGGGACACCGAGTCTATAGGCTGTGGGGTCAGGCTACAGGACCTTAACATCCATTGGCAGTAGAGTTCACACCAGAGGCAGCTCCAAACCCCAGATAATGGAAAGTAGAAATGAGTGGACCTGCAGAGAGGAGAATGAGACCCAAGCATGCAACTGAGATGAGAGAAAGTGACTGGGGAGGGGCTGTGGGATCCTGCACCCTTTCCATCCTGCAAGCCCCACCGTCCCTCTGGAGAAACTCTCCTTGTATTGAACTAGATTGGGTGGGCTTCATTTCATGCAGCTTGGAAATCCCTTCCAAGAATGTGCTTGCCCTCCTGGCTAAACATGACTCTGTCTAAAAGGACTAACTGCGGTTGTTCATCATTGAGCCCATGCCTACCTCTGCGTGCTCAGTACTGAGGCAGGATGATGACAGACAACAGGTACTGAGCAATTCCTATGTGCCAAACAGGCTCTCAGTGTTAATTCTTTAATCTTCTGTAGCAGTGCCTTGAGGAAGCACTATTCTGTGTCCAGTTTTCAGATGAGGAGCTTAAAATAAATGCAGGGATGTTAAGCCATTGTGCCAAGGTGACCCAGCATTAAGTAGAAGAGTTGGCCTCTGACTGCAGAGTGCACACTCATACCACCAGGCCACACTGTTGGTCTGGGACATAGAAGTCAGTAAACCTGGTTTCTGCCCCAGAGCCCAGGGATGCGCTGGCAGAGCAGGAGGCACTTTGTAACCGTTGAGATAAGCAGGGAAGGGAGATGTAGCAAGTGCTGTGGGTCACACACATAGGAGCCACCAACTCCCTGGGACAGTCAGAGAAGTCTTCACTGAAGAGTTGCTATTGAGCTGGACCTTAAAGGTCGTGTAGGGGTTCATCAGCATAGAAATAAAAGAGAAATCATCATAGACAGAGGGAACAGATGCAAAGGTATGCAAGGACAAAAGCTTAGTGTACCTTTTCCAGCCCACCCTGACCTCATTCTTTTCTGAAATCCTATTGCACAGGCTGGGAATGCCCAAAGGCTAATCAAATGCCCAGTGGACAGGTACTGTGCTTGGCCTCCTCTGTATCTACAAAGGGAGATTTGTGTGGCTGGCCTCTGCCCCTTTAAACCAAGTATTCCAGCCCAGCATTGTGCAACAAAGCTGATGCCCAAGAGGGACAACTGTTACAATCTCAGAGCTTTTTTGTCTTGGCCCAGTTGCAGGGATACCAACCCCTGTGGCATGTTCTGCTTTTAACCCCTCCTTCTCCCTGCAGGCCTGCCATCTGATCCTTTCCTCACTGCTGACCTTACCCAGGAAGTACCCCTGTCCATGTCAGTATGACCTATGCCTGGACCACCCAGCATCCAGAACCCTGCCCTGTCTCTGGCCCATGTGGCTCCTAATGCCCAGCCTACCCGTCTGTCCTTTCCCCACCAAGGGGCCTTGGTTAGAGTACAGAATATGTGTGCTGCTCCTCTGCCTGACAGCAAGGCCCTAATAAACTCTGAAAAGCCCTCCCATTGGATCCTGCACTAATTACAACAAACAGAATTCTTAACACATTGCCAGGCTTCCCAGGAAGGAAAAAAAAAGGAAATTTCCATAGCCAGACATGGCCCAAAAACGAGAGAACAAGATCAGCAAACTGAAACTCACATGTTAAAGCAGGGTTTCCTTGAAGGCAAATGTCAACATTGATAAGGAGACTAAACCCTGTGTAGAAGGCAGGGTCAGAGATCTGAGCTCAAGACTTCCATCTTTAATCAGGGGGCCTTTGACAGGGACTAAAGTGGATCCAGATCTCTAGAGCTCTTTTGGTCTCAACAGAAGTATATATCAATTTTCCCTGAAATAATAACCTACCAACTTAGATCTGACAAGATTCTCAGATAAATTCAACTTAAAATGTGCTCACAATAGAAATTACCAGACAGATATGAAAGGAATGAGAATCAGCAAAGTAACAAACAGATTTAGACCTTCAAAACCTTTAGATATTGGAATTGTAATATGCAGACAATAAAATAAGCCTATATTAAATTTAAAAATGAACTAAAATAGGGAGCTAGAATGTGCAAGGGCCAAGCAACTATCAAAGACAGCAAGGCAGCTATGAAAATGAGTAACTTAGAACTTGCAAAAGTGATGAATAAAATTGTTGAAATTAAAAATTCAGTGGCTAGGTTAAACAGAAAATCAGACACAACTGAATGGAGAATTAGTGATCTGGAAGATAAAGCTGAAAAAATTTATGAGAATGTAGTTCATTTGGGAAGAAGGGAGATATGAGAATGTAAGTAATATAAATGACAAAACAAGAAGGAGTAATAAGAAATTAAAAAGAGCCAATCTTCAAAGAGGTAATGGGTGAGGAATTTTCCAAAATGGATGAAAAGTTCTAAGTCTACATGCAGAAACATAAATATATTAAATAAGACTAAATAAATAAATCCACACCTATAATATTGTAGTGAGAATGCAGAAAACTACCGAAAAAGAGATCTTAGAAGCAGCAAAAGAACAAAGCCAGGTCATCCCTCCAAGATGACGATTAGATTGACAGCAAAATTCTCAACAGTAATGGAAGCCAGAAAATAGCAGACTAAGATCATCAAAGTGCTGGGAAAAAATAAGTAGCTGGAGGGAAGGAAAAAAAAAAAAAAAACAAAGTACAAAAAACACCCAACCCCAAAACGAGACAAAACAACAACAAAAAACCCTACTTTCAAGGATGAAGGCCAAAAAAAGTCATTTCAGATAAACAAAAACTGAGTTTACAATCAACTGACCATCACTAAAAGAACTTCTAAATAATGAACTCCAGGGAAAAGGAAGATGATCTCCAAAGAAGTATGACAAAGTACAAAGAAATTGGTAAACATGTAATAAATAAAACCAGACATTGCTTCTATGGAAAATATAATAATAATCACAACAATAACAACAATAACAGAATTCTTATTAAAGATTAAGATAACAGGATAATAACAACAATAACAGGATAAGAATATGTAATATATGAGATTTAAAAAACAGACCTAAAATACTCGATGACAATGCCATGTAAGTCAGGAGAAGGGTGACTATATTAAAGTATTTGAACATTTGTGTTGTGTCTTATCCTGTTGAGGAGAAACATTTAGATATTGCTTACCAATATTAAGTATGTAAGGTAAAAGACAAATGCAGTAACTTAGAATAGAAATTAAATATGTAACTTGAAAAAAAAATAGAAGTAAAAAAAACTTTAAAAGTTGAAGCAGCAATAACCATAAAAATCAATTTAAAAAAACAGAAATACAGAAAAAAAGAGGCAAAGAGCGTGTACGGAGTAAACTAAGAAATGCATACAAATATATCAATAGCCACCACAAATATAAAAGGGCTAAAGTCATCACTTAACATATAAAACTTACAAGATTGAACAAAAAATATGACTATATGCTGTTTAAAAGAGATCTAAAACAAGAACACAAAAAGGTTGAAAGTGAAAGGATGGAAAAATACATTAGAACAAGTTTAAATAAATCTGGGGTAGCAATACTGACATAAAAATTTAACTGAAGACAAAAAGCACTGGAGTCATCCCATTAGAACAGGTTCAATCTCCAGAAAGTTATAAAGGCTATTAACTTATGTTCCTCTAACAAAATAAACTTGCTAGAAATATAGAGAGAAAATGAAAAATTACCTTCATAGTGGAAAACTCTAACACATCTTTCCAATTATTGACAGATGGAGCAGACAAAAATTTAGGAAAGATGCAGAGATTTGAACAACTTAATCAACTAGCTTGGTTAAAACTCTATACTCAGTAATTAGTTGGAGCAATTCTTTTCAAGCACATAAAAGCCATTTATACAAATCAACCACATACTAAGCCATAAAGTTGTTTTCAGCCCATTTCCAACATATTCCTATTGGGCTAAGGTGTTAAGTCAATAACAAAAAGACAACCAACCAACCAAAACTACCACCACCACTAGGCTGGCTAGGCAGATCTGCTTTACCAACTTATTTAGGGACTGCAATCTTTCATTTTGATTCCCAATCATTCCTTAGGATATTGTCTTCATCTGTGTCGTTGAAGCTTAGTCATGGACACATTTGCCTGCCAGCTTGCAGAAAGAGAGTGAAAGAGTCTGGGGCAAGCAATTTTATTTTAAACTCATATTGCTTTGGTGCTAATTTAATCACAAGGATGGGCCACACTTGGCTCAATGGAGGCTGAAAAATGTAGTCTCCGACTCTGCAATTGTGTCCAGGAAAATGTATTGATGAGAGCTGGAGGACAAACCAGCAGTTTGCCGCACGCCTGGACTCATTCTGTGAAATATCATATTCTTACCCAAACAACAAAAGAATAGTAGGAAAGAGAAAAAGAAAAGAAAATTGGTGGCCAATCTCACTCATGAAAAGGAAGATAAAAATCTGAAACAGAAATAGGAAAAAATCTTACTCCAGTAATTTAGAAAATATATAAACTGAATTAAAGATTCTGGCAGATTTTCTTTAATGATCGACTTAGAGTGGATCTACAGCCAATGGATTCTTGCAGATGAGAAAATGAAGACAGAAGCTAAATGACTCATTCAAGGTCACAGAGCAAGCCGAAGGCTCCACGTTCCCACCTCCACCCTACCACCTTGGACACTGCCCAGACACGTAAAGTGCCTGGGACGCTTGGAGGGGCCACGCCCTTTACAGTTACACATCAGTTATTTCCATTTCTCTGAGTTGAGTAGAAACCAGACAAACCCTTGATCTTCTAGTCTTACTAACTTCATGAGTGCTCACTCAGACAGCTCTTACTTTACGTAGCACCCTGACATGCATTATTCCTTTAATTCTCACAGAGGCCCAGTGAGGTAGGTGGCAAGATTGTCATGCACAGATGAGGCCTGAATGGGCCCCTCGGATTTCTTTGGCCATCTACTCATCACTAGAGATCACAGCCACTGTTGTGTCCCTACATATGTTCCCTGTAGAATCATACCCCTAGTTCCCCTTTGGAGAACTTCATGCTTCTGAAGATGTCACTGGGACCAGTGAACAGTTTTGTTCTAGAACCTGCAAAGGGCACAGGCTGCAGGCTAGAGGGTGAAGGGCAGCAGGCTGGGGTCAGCAAGTGTGACTCCTCCAGCTGTCCCTGGAAGGAGCCCCTAGCTTGCTACTTTAATGTTCTCACATAAAGAATGGAACAGGATTATAGCCCTCCTTTCTTCCATTCTCTACACCATGCACACTTCACACATTATTTATAGATTTATAGATGGACAGGAAGCTCTGCTGTAGGGGAGAGAGGACTGGATTAGGAATCAGACACCCTAAGTTCTGATTTCGGCTGTCACTCACTCACCTGTGATCTTGGGCAAATCACCCCACCCTTGTGAGTCTTACCCATAATGCATGCCCCGGGGCTACCAGAAAGTGCTAGATGTAGAGGGACATGTTTGTGTCAATGTAAGAAGCTTAAATAAGCTAGAAGTATATTTCTCTCTCATGCAATAAACAATCCAGCCTTGATGTCATGGGTTCATAATGCCAGTGGCCCCAGAATCCTTCATTTGTTGTTCTGCCGTCCCCTGGGTGTCGCCCTGCCCTGTTCCAGGAAGCAGACTGAAGTATCATGATCTTCCCCTTTCCCTTAACAACATAATTCAAAAATTGTTCACAGCACTTCCACTCAACCCCATTGAACAAAACGTGGTCAGATGACCACGCCTCATTCAGTGGAGACTGGGGCATACTGGCATTGGGTGAGCAGCCACATATCCTGATAAAAAGTATACTAATTTTGAAAAAGAGGGACAGACTTTGGGAGACGATTTTTAGTCTGTTCCACACTATCCCCTTCTCCACACTTAGAGGGATTTAACAACTTCTCGGACTAAAAATGGGCTCTCTGGCAATGTTCTAGATTGGCACACATTTTGAATTTGTAATGACCTTTAGAGGCTCTATCTAGAGGCAGTAAGAGAATTCAGCAAATAAATAGTCTCCCACAGATCAGCTCCAGAGTAAAACTGGGAACAGCCTCCTCCCTGCTCTCAGATGAGAAAGCTGCTAAAGGACAGAGGCAGGGCTCACCACAGAGCATCAGTGGCGGGCAGCTTCCTCCTGGATGGAGGTGGATCCATCCAGCAGGACGCCCCAGCCCCAGGATGTCCTGCCCCCAGTCCCCCCACCTTTCACCAACTGGAAGCAGAAATGAGTCTCATCTCAGGACACCTCACTAGTCTTTGCCACCAGATGCTCTTCTTTCTGAAAAAGGAAATGACTGAGAACTGGCTGGGAATGGAGCACAAAGCTCCGAGCTGCACTCAAGGAGTTTCTCGCCTTCTGAGAGGCTGTGCCATCAGAGTCGTTGGCAGATATGGGGCCTCTGGGACACCAGAGCTGGCAGACTGTGTGTCCAGGTGGATGCAGCCAGGGGCTCAGGAGTCCCTTGAGAAGCTACAGAGCACTGTGGAAGACTGCTCAATGCCAAGGGCCAAGTGCAGCCTCTGGCACCAGGGGAGCTGGGCAAACGCTCCTCCGTGCAGGGCTCTCATGCATCGGAGAAAATTAGAAGGCTAGTATTAGTTTAGCC